AGTATAAAATCACCGTGCTATAAAGTACAAACACAAACCCAAAGTAGTCTATACGTATACGTAAGAGGTATGGTATATTTGCTGGCGATTCGCAGAAAATGCTCGGGTTGTTTGTTCCCTTCCATATAACCATCGTGCACTCGGCACCACTCGTCGTTCACCACTTTCCCCATTGAGCTATCCCATAGCAACAATTCTGGTCGCAGATCGCGAAGCAATTTCATTCTCATCGATCGGATCGAACTACACAATACGTATACATATGCCTACGTATGTTGTAACAACGGATGTGCGACTTGTGCGTGAGTGAGAGTGAGAATGAGATAGAGATAAAGAGAGAAAGAGACGAGTGGGAGGTGGTAGGTGGGTGGGTGGGTGGTAGAGGGTGGGGAAGAAGTGGGAACTCGGTGTACTTCGCGAACACCGAAAAGGTCATAAGCTTGTAGTACGAGAGAGATACATAGATAGATAGATAGATAGAGAGAGAGAGAGAGAATACTATCCATAGTTAAACTCAAACTACATTGTACACCAGCATCGCCGATTGCTGATATTCTCCAGTGCTTCCTCCGTATCAGTATAGTCGTCTAATCGTACGTACCTATCGGGAACAGATTAAAGGGGAAATGATCGTAGCTACGGGGATCGAGAAATTCAAGTGCTAGAGACAGAGAGGGAAAGGACGAGGGAGAAGGGATGAGAGAGTTAGAGAGAAAGAGAACACGACTATTCCCTAGCTCCCATAAATTATGTCAACCTCGTCGAGTATGCAAACGCAATCACGAGTACTTTGCGTCTGCTCGACCTTCCAGCAACGTTGATACATGCCAAACGAGACGTCGAGAAAAGAAATGACGGGCGACAGGCAAGAATAATTTGTTGCGAAAGGTGTAACACATTTTTTCTTCTTCCTCCTTCACCCCCGAACCACCCATGCAACCCCTTCCAACTATACTCATCACATCGACCAACCTAATAAGTCAATTTTTCCCAACGTCTCGGAGTAGTTCCATCGCTCGGTTCTTTGCGAGATAAATGTTCTTTAAACTTTTCTTTTCTTCATATTCTTCTTCTTCTTCTTCTTTTTCTTTTTCTTCTTTTTCTTCAATCTTCCTTTTCATTATTCTTTACTTCTTTCTATTCTTCTTCCTCATGTTCCGCTTTGGGTATAGTAAGATTATTCTCTCCTTCCTATTTTTTTTTTAGTTCCACTTAAGACCTCGAAATAAAGAGTTGAGATTAACGGGTTTTTCTTCTTCTCGAAAATGTCCGGTCTTCTTTTTCTTCTTTTTCTTCTCGTCCGTATTCTATTTTTCTTTCATTTTCATTTTTCTTTTTCCTCCCCCCTCTCTCTCTCTCTTTCTCTGTTCGGTTTTCATCAGTCATTTTGGTCTCTTTTCTATTTTCTTTCTCTTTTTACTATTTTTTTTTTCTATGCTTACCCGTTTATTCGCGCGCACAAATTTGTACAAATCTTTCGAGAAAATAAATCTTCATTTATTATCATATATTATTTTCGTCGTATATTATTATTTTGTTCGTCGAGTCATTCATTTCCTTCGTTAAATATCAAGTTGGTCATTCAGTTTGGTGAAAAATAATGCACACGTGACGCGCAGAAAATGCATTCTTGCCAAGATAATACCACATTACTGTTCATAGAAATAATCCTGTTCACCAGGCTGTTCCTATCGTTTTCTTTTTTAATTATTTTCTTTTCTTTTTTTTGTTTTTTAAAGGGAAACACCTAAAATTGGATCGAACGAACGAACATTATAACATTTGATTATTACTTGACCGATTTAACCAAACCAACGCACGTGTAATTTTATCGTTTAGCAAACTTCATAGATTTTTACCAAATTTTATATTTCTATAATTATGAACAATTAACAATTTTAATTATTCTTAGTACATGTATTCATATTTACGATATATTATATAACTTTACGAAAAAAATGTTTTTTTCCAATCATTTAAAGAACACAAAGAATTCCCTTAAAACGTTCAGACTTTTATTTACATCATGATAAATCGAACTTGTCTTAAGATCATTGATCAGTCCCGATACTAATTGGTTTCTGTCTTCGATCGGTGATAAGTTAATGGAAGAGTTACCCTTCGACCTACTGCAATCGATCACTGGAATCCTACGACTTTAATACAAGTAAGTATATATATATATGTATATTCCTTGCTTGACATTTCAATTGAAATATTCAGGATTTTCGTCCCAAAAAAAAGACATATATCATCAAGGATTAAAAATTAATTAATATCTAATCATAGGATGTGAAAATATTTGTTATATAAATAAACGATCAAATGAAACGAAATGAATTATCGTTTATCAATTTCGAATGATCGAAAAAGTTGTAAAGTTTATAGAAATACGTTTAACGTTTCTTTAGAAACAAAGGTACAAAGTAAAACATAGAAAAAGTGAAAGAGAGTTCATCGTAAAAGTAAAGAAAACGGGAAAATGTAATCCCAATGGTCAATTAGAGAAGGATATCGTTTGGCAAGAAGGAAACTTTTCTGCACTTGTGTCTAGATCGCATCGTATAAGACGTTTTAACGCTCGACGATGCAACTGGACGGCCAATTACTCGAAACGAGAAACTATTCTGCCAAAACGACGAAGACTCCGTGAGATCGTTGCATTCTATCCTATTCTATCCTATCCTATCCTATCTTTTATTGTTTTATTTCTTATCCATCGTGAAAAATCTTTCATAAAACTTGATCTATCTCTTAGTCGTTCAGAATTTATTTTTAACTTCCTGACGTGTCTTTTATTAGCACATCATAGATATTGACTCCGAATAATAGTATTTATTTTATTTTGTGCTATGTTATCAACAAAATCAGGTATCTATATATATATATATTTTCCTATCTATTAAGCAAGGAAAAAGGAGTGTGGGTGGGGGGTGGGAGGGAAGTTGGAGGAAAGGAAAAATCGAAGATCATTAATTCAGTACGCGGCCATTTATTTCGAACGAACGAATATCGAATAAGAAGGACGACGATTCGGACTTGGGGGAGTTTATGCGTGATGTTGTTGGAATAACAAATATTGGTAGGACCGAATATTCGATAAGGAAATAAAAGCGACGAAGAATATACTTCTCGTACAGAGAAAGAACTGAAATCGAAGTCTTTTCATTTTTTCATACAAAAATAAAAAAATAAAACTCCTCGTTTCTCTTTCCTATCTCTCTCTCTCTCTCTCTCCCCCTTTCTCTTACCGAATTTATCTTTCTTTTTATATATATTTTACTACTAGCAATAAAAAAAAAAAAAACATAGGAATATATGAAAAAGAATATATTAAATTAAATCATAAGAAAAAGATAGATTTGTTTTTCGGTAATATTAAGGAATAAAAATGAATCGACAGTAATCGATAGCAATTAAAATCCGTGAATATTTCTATGAAATAAGAACATGTTCAAAATCGACAATTTAATCTATTTATCGAAAGTAGAAAACAAAATCGAATACTTACGTGATTATACATGTCTAATATCAATCTAGCGGAAAGAATGCGATTGGCAATATATACAGGGTGGAAATATTGTGTAAAGGCTCAACCGTAGTCGATCACTCACCCAGCTTTCGCTCCGATTTCCGACATTGACGAATTCACGCTGCTTACAAAGCTGACACACATATGTATATATATATATATATATATATATATATATATATATATGTATAGCATATATAATATACGCTATGTATTTGGTACCATGTATATATTATACGGGAAAGAGAGATCAGCATACATATTCAATGCGTGCAAAGGTTAATGCGAGAGAGAAACGCACGATTAATCATTAGGTATTTTGACAAAGGGAACGCCCGCCAAATTTTAACGCCTTCCAAGTTCCATTTAAAAGCTTTACACGGACAAAGAGAAAGAGAAAGAGAAAGATAGAGAAAGAGAGAAAATAAAATAATTTTTGTGAACGCATATATATATTAAAATTATATATATTTATCAGCAACAGATATTTTCTTTCCCCTCGGAAAACATTTAAACAGTTATGTATTGAAAAAAAGTAATCAAAACAAGTAAAGTTTAAGTTCCTTGACCTAGACTATCAAGTACGACTTATACGAGACAAGGGTGAAAAGTAAAAAATGAGGTTGAAGTTATTCAACCCCATTTGCTTACACCATTCGAAGTGTAGAGGAATGGCGAAGTGACACTCACATTTAAACATATACCAATAATATTAATATACCTACATTTGTATACACACACATACATACACACTCATAAAAATAAAAAGAGTAACAGAGATGGTGAGAAGGTAGGTAGGAGGGAGGGGGCGGGGACACAACTGTCGATTTTATTCGTCGAGTTCTTTTGAAAAGTTTCGAAAGCGGAAGAGTAAGGTTAAAGGGGGTGGAAGGGGGGTGCGAGGAAGGCTCTCGACTTTTAAAACTTGTACGAACGTTCGCTTGCCCGCCCAAATCTACTAGCAAGTTCCAGACCGTCACGAGAGGGCTCCGAGCTAGCTAGCGCGAAGGCTTTCGACACTCGACGTTTCCGCCCACACCGTTAAAAGCTCGTTCGAAACTTCTATGCCAAGATATTTTCTTCGAATTTCTTACTTTCCCTAAACCTAACTGCTAATACCGAAAGTATTCTCTGTGGTTATTTGATTATTAGATTATTATTATTATTATTATTATTATTATTATTATAGAATTTATGATATTTATATAATATATCAGATTTTCGTAAGAAAACAATCTCGTTTGATGGAACATTGACTTAGGTAAAACAATCTGAACGAGTTTATCGAAAGTATCACTCGTGGAAGTTAAAAACCATAGTCTTTGTAACGACAACAAAATAAATTAATAATAGAGATTTCATGTACAATGAACAATATTGTATTGAATATTAGAACGAAGTGATAGTAATGATATTAGAATAAATCGAAATCGTGCAATCAAGGATGAGAAACATGCATTTTATTTACCTTTAATGGATGGTCTCTCTCTTTCTCTCTCTTTCTCTTTTAAGGTACCAACGTTGTCGATTCGCTGTCGGATTCCACTTCGTCCATCACACGGCAAAAGACAGATTTCTTCACGAATATATTTGGAAAATTTCTCGATGATAGAGCAGCAGCTTTTGTGCTATAGAAAATGTTTTTTACCGAGTAGGAGGAGTAGTAGGAAAAAGAGGAATAGGAGGAAGGGGGCGGGGAGTTCACTTTTGTCGTCGGTACGGATTTTCGCAAAACGAATTGTTGTTGGTCTATCGTCGAACTTTCATAAAGGTGCGTCTCTTTTGCGCGCGCGTTACCGCCCTCTTCTCGTTCTCCAACCCACCCCCCCTTTCCTTATCCTCCGTTACACTCTTTCTTCTTTCTCACTCGTGCTTGCGATCTTTCACATCGTTCCTTCCTTCCTTCTTTCTTTCTTCTTCCTTCTTCTTACGCTTCTCCTTTTTTACTTCTCTTACTTGTGTCCCACCTTATTGCTAAAATCAATTTCGAGATAACAAGTATTTAATCTTTTTTTTCTTTTGTTTTTCTTCTCTTCGTATTTGTTTCTATTTTAAGTTCTTTTTAATAGACACGTTGTCAACTAATCCACCGACAAAATCATATCCCTCTTTCCACTTGATAAATATTATTATATTAATTAGAATCCTCGAACACTTCTGTTTATCCTTACGAACTCTAACTCGAGTATCAATAATCCGAACAATATAACAATCCTTACGAATGTAATCGATACCGAGCACGAAACTTACTTACTCAGAGTCCGAATACACTATACACAAACTTTTGTTATTACATCTATCAGTTTTTTCCACGTGCTTTAGAGAGAAATAATTCACTACTGATATTAGACCATGGATACGGATCCGATTAAAATGTTTTCCCAAAGCACGTGCACGTGCTGTGTGTACCAGTCCGATTCGATTCCAACGAAACCAATCCAGTCCAATCCGAGTTTTAGAATGTTTTGTTTCTTTTATTCGATGATATGAAACGGAAAAAAAAAACAAAACAAAACAAACCAAGCAAGGAAACAATGAACAAGAAAAAATACTATCGCCAAAATTCGTGATGATCGTTTAAAGAAAATAATTGAGTAAAGAAATATGACGATGGGGGGATATGACCAGACGTATGACGTTGAATTCGTAGATGAGGATGATGATTTGGAAGTTGGAAAAAGGGCCCCGTTCGAAAATCAAAGATACTACAATCTCGCTCGCGAGGCGCAGCGCTCTTCGCAAGGGGCGCGGCGTAACTGAGCTTGGCGAACCAACCCTCGTCGTCTCTCTCTCTCTCTCTTCCACTATTCCTCCCTCTCTTGCCCTCTCTCTATCTCTCTTTAGTTATCCTCACCCTTCCGTCTCATTCCTCCCACCATGTCGTCCCGTTCGGCAACGCTTTCCCACTACGACGCAGTTTCCACCACCACCACCCTTTTTCATCCCTTCTTCTACCTTCTCCTCTCACCTTTCCGCGTGTTTCTCTCTCTCTCTCGTTTCTTTCTTTTTTCTTTCTTTCTTTCTTTCTTTCTTTCTTTCTCTTTCATCCCCTCCATTTTTATCTCTCTCTCTCAGTTTTCAACGCCTTCTCCATCTCACTTTTTCTTCCGCGTGTGTATGTATGCTCGTGTTTTCTTTTTTTCCCTATTTTTTCTTTTTCATCATATGCGAAAGAAATAGCGAGATAATATAAGAGCAAGCTTCGTTTCTTCCTACCTCTCTCTCTTTATTTTTTTTTTGTTAGAATCGATGATATACCTTGCTTTGGTAGTATTGCGATTTTTTTCTGAGGGTAGCGTGGGTAAATTTTGGTTTATTAATGAACACGACGCGAATGATATTAATACGATTGAATTTATTTTCATTGTAAATTATACACGATAATACGTTTGTGTGTAAATAAATGATACTCGTGTTTGATTTTATAATATATATGTTTCTTTTTTCTTTTTTTAAATATTAATTACAAAGATTAAAAACTTGTTTCTTATAGTTTTTTTTTTTTTAGTATCCATTCCATTTTCATTTTAAATCACATCCCATTCTCTGTTTGACTATGATCGTAAGAACGTTACTAATCATAGAATAGTTCTCTCATTTCTCTCTCTCACTCACTCCCTTTCGTACGTCTTGTTGATGAAGGGTTGAAGACTGGTGAGTGTAAGTGCGACATCGGGAATTAATTTTCGTGAGAATTCGATTGGCCTCCATTCGGCAACTTGCTATTGGAGTTGGTTGGTCCCCATAAAGAAGAGAAGTGAGAGAGAGAGAGAGAGAGAGAGAGAGAGAGAGAGAGAAAATAGGAAGGGGAGAAATGGTGCAACGAGATATCGATCGTTTTCGATTAAACGCTTAAATCGTACTTATGAGAGATTCGAAGTACGTTTACACTGTCCGATCAAAACGCGAAGGATGTATGTTACGAGGTTCTACTTGAGAGTACACGTATGATTTTGAGGAAAGATTTATACGGACTAGTTGCAATTACATGGATGAGACACGTTCGAAAATGACTTTTTAGTATCCACCCACTCGAGAAGAAGTAATCGCGACCGACACGAGTAGTTACCGTTTGTTTCCCACTTCCTGAAACATCGTTTCGTTTAATTATACTATTCGAATTACTTTAGTTTGTCCAGTTTTTATATTGACACATTTATTTGAACGATAATAATACTCGTACCAAACATATTTGACAATATATATTCACAAAATAAATCGATTTTTAATATATTATAATATATTTATAAAAAGGTACTCTAGTTTTTTTTTCATAAAATTAATATATGAGATTCAGATTTATAAATAGATTTTTCTATTAGATACTTAATATTCGATATAACCGATAAGATTCACATGAAACTATAATATTATATCGTAGATTATACGATTACTTTTTTGTCGCGCGAATAGAAAAATATTTAAAAAAACTTAGAAGAGTATAGGCAGAGAATATAACACGCGGCAGGAGGAGGAGGAGGATCGTAGTTCGACTCGTTCGATAGAAACAAAGTGGAAAGCTTGCTACGAAATCGCCCCTCGGCGTCATTCGCTTTCGAACGACGAATACAGGCTGGTGCATCTGGAAAAAGGGAGAAAGGGAGATAGAAAAAGAGAGATAAAGAAAGATAGTAGATACAGCAATGTTCGATCGGTACTAGAAGCAGGCAGTAAAATTTCAAATTTCTCCAAAGCACAATGGCTACGCGTTCGCATAAATATTTTATGTATTTCCCGCAGCGAACTCGATCGAGGACCACGTCAGAAAGCTGACGTTTTTCTATGTGCAATAGTGAATGAAAGAGAAAGATAGAGAGAGAGAGAGAAAGAGAGAGAGAAACACTCTCGACGTGACGCGATAAAATTTTGAAATTTTTCTTATAAACTTTACCTCCAAACGACAAGGAACGTCATTGCATAGGATATCAACTCACTCGTGATATTTTCTAATAATATAAACGAAAGGGCCAACTTCACAACGTCGTGAGATTTATTATACAAAATCGAACTCATCGAAATACGAATGTTCCCTTTTTTTCCCTCCCGTCCCAAAAAATATATCGAAATTTTCCTTAGAGAAAGAGAGAGAGAGAGAGAGAGAGAAAGAAAGAGTGAGACATTTTGTTGAAACGAATAACACGAAAAAAAAAAAAAAAAGAAAAAAGAAAAAAAGAAAAATCTAGAGAAGATAATGAACATCTTTTATAACGAGATTAAGAAATGGGGAATGAGGAAGAAAAACAAATTATCTAATTACACCTTTATTACACTAGAGTAATTAAAGTTTTCCATGGGATCAACTCGTCTTTCCCAATTAACAGGCCATAAAAATCATCTTATGTTCTTTTTCCATCTCTCTCGGATTCTATTCCACGTGATTTTATTAACAATCGCAACATCTCTTAATGAATTGTAAAGCTTATTTTATATTTTAATTAAAAGAAGAATAAGAAGAAGAAGAAGAAAGATAAAAGGGAGAAGAAAACAAAAATTAGAAATAAAATAGAAAAAGGCATGGGATGAACACACGCGAGTGAAATTACACACGTATTTACGTTGAAGACAAGTAGTAGTAATGGTCTAGAGCAGAGGCCGTTTGGTCAGCCTGATATTTTCGAGGTTGCACCTACCCTAATACCCTCTCGCTACGGATATTGGAGGCAACGTGTGTGTACTCGTTGCTGGCGAGTATCTTTTAGGAGAGAGAAACAGGCGTGAGAAAGGCATGTGTGAGTCCTTCCAGAGACTATCTACGTTGTACATGTTTCCGTCTACATATACAGACAATGGAGTTTATATATATATATTCATGTATGTATTATATATACCTGTATCTACCTACGTACGTTAGACTACCGAATCTAGACAGGATGTATATGTTGTGTAGAGTTGTTCGTAAATGTTCTATGTGTATATACTTTGGGTATATATAGTAACAAGGAAGAGTAGGTAGAATACAGAGTATATATACATGGACACTAGCTGACCATGGTTTCGTCGTGACGCTTAGTGGCGTGAAAATTAGGTCGCTCGCGTTTTGCAGATGAGAAAAAACTGACGAACGAACGAACGAACGAAAGAAAGGAGAAGAAGAAGAGATGGGTCTCAACGGAGCCCATTTTACCTTCTTCTTCTTCTCCTTCTTCTGCTTCGTGTTCATTCCATCCTTTCCTTTTTTTCATATTTCTTTCCTTGCTTTCTATCTTACGTGCATCCTAAGATCGCATCGTCGATGAAACGACATCCTCGAAGCGTGAATTTCAGTGACGTTTCGTTTTCTTCATCCTCTTTCTCTCTCTCTCTCTCTCTCTCTTTGTTTTTTACCCTGACTCTCTCTAATTCTATCAATAAATTACCAATAATAAGATTTAGAGATTGAGAACAGCTTATACGTTGCAATAAGTACTATTAAGTCATCTAACTGTTGTCAAATCATGTAACATATATATATATATATATATATAAAGTATTTGGAATGGCAGAACAGATAAAATTTTCAACAAATATATGTTCGGTCGTTTGTGTTATTATAATTTATAATTAATTTAATTCGATTAAGTTTTGTTATATGTTAATAGATATCAATAACGTTTAGGTAGGGTAATTTTTGTTCATTTTCAATATCTAATTAAATGATTTGTATTACGATATTAATTATCTATTCTTGCCAATTTGCGTGCCGAGATATTCTATATGATTTTAATAATCGTACAATTATTGAATATACGCGTATTGAATACAAAGATAGAAATTTAGGAATTGAGATCAAAGTCAAATTTTCCCTGACTTTCCAATCACAATCGTTCGATATGATATTATATTAATTATTTAAATTAATTGAAATATAGGAAATGTGAAATATTGGATATAACGTGAAATATTATTTGCGTTGTTAACAGCAATTTAGGTTGTTCTAAAAGCCTAACGTAATTTCAGTCACGCGATTAAAGTTTTAGCGATTACGTTATAGTAATGGATTAATTAATTAACGGTCAAGTTGACGGAATTTCCTAGTTATTCACTTAGCTTGATCAACGAGTTACGATAATTTATCTTTTACTTTAGTTTTTTTCCTTCTTCTTCTTCTTCTTCTTCTTCCTCCTCTTCTTGTCATCGAATTATCGATGCCGAGAAAAAGTCTACTTACTCAGGGAATATTGTTCGAGAAAATATAAGTTATCTCCTTTTCTCCCTTTTAAACCTTTCCCTTTTCTCAAATTACCCCCTCGAGATATTCTTATCTTTGAATCCCTTCGTCATTTATAATTAAAGATAACCCGTTTAAAGATGAAGAAGAAACTTTCTTCTCCGCAAAAACGAAAATACCATCTATTTAAGATTTTATCGGTATAATTCGAGCCAACGAGGGATACATGGTTTATATTTAATCACTTTTGCAGAAATTATATTAACCAATATCTTGAAATATAATGTTTTTTAAACAAACCTCTAAACGGATTAATAAGTAAATATATATATATAATATTATATTTATAAGAATTTTATCGATTATAAAAAACGAATATTAAAAAAATAAGTAAGATAAATAAAATCGGTATACTTTAATTAGATATCTAAACGAATTAATAACAATATCGCTATTATTCGTGAAATAATAATAATTTACGAATGAATATTAAAAAAATAGACGAGATATTACGATAAAAAATATGAGTAAAAAAAAAAGAAAATATTACTTACGATTGACGAGAGAGATAAATTAATAATTGAAAGTATCTATCAAAGAATATTGCGTAATTTT